ACGAGCTAGTAAAACGCCCTATTATAAAGTATCTACTAATAACGCGGCTAAGTACGTAAGATTCGGTCTTATCTAGTACCTTAGTTCGAGTAGTAGTTCCGTTAGTAGTTTATAAATCTACTACCTTCTAGATAGGTACTATATTAATACGAATACTAGCTACTATAGTAGTAGCTATACCTATAGTAGTTATAGTAACTACCTACGCCTATTTAGATACTAAATCTACCTTACGGACAACCTATTAGTATAGTACTAGTAGTAACTATACTACTAAGGCCGTAACTACTACCTTTTAAGTAACTACGGCTATATCCGTAGTAGTATTAGCGAGTAGGGCAGGGGAATCAGTTCTAAGGCGGTAGTAGCCGAGCTAATAAGAGTACTAGAAACACCTATATTAATTAATAAAGTAGTAGAAAGTACTACAATCGCGTTTTCTTAGTTAAAGTAAGGTAGTAGTAATTTTAATAGAGAGCGGCAGTAGCCGTACTACTCTAGCACACTACTCTATACTATAGATTAGTACGTACGCGTCCTCCCCTGTACTTTATAGTGCATTACGACTGCGCCCGGCAAATAGCCAAAGTGCGCCCGGTAAATAGCATTTCCCATTCCTGTGCCCTCGGCTGAAGGCGACGCCCTTTTCCCAAGCCGATCTGATGTAACCCTCCTGGCGATCACTACCAGCAAGAGGAGAAAGGCAGACTCTGCGCTGCCCGGTGGAGCGGCAGATAATACTTCCGGAACAACTGATACCAGCTCCCAGGACGACCGTTGAACCTCATACAAGGTTGGCAGAGGCCACGTGCATCGCGCCTATCAGCGCGACACCTCTAATATCTCTCGTCTGTCACCACCACCACCTCCCACATGCAGCTTAACCCGCGTGACCCAAACTTTTCAGCCTTTCAGACGCGGGAGTGCAACATCTCGTTGACAGACCGCTAGAGGGACGCCGCACGCGACTCCGCACGCGAGCTAGCTCATTATTATATCTCTTTCCTCCAATCCCCCTCCTACGCTCTTCTTCCCCTCTCGTTTCTCTTGTGAAACGAGAGCTCTTGACTACCATCGTGGATTCTACGCACGGCGAGCAATCCCAGCGACTCCTCTCCTCCAATCACGACGTAAGAGATAGCTTGACTGAAGCCTTTGAGATGGCTGAGCTTGACGATAAGACCAAGAGTCCGCCGACCTACCAAGCTACACTTCCCCACGATGTCGACGATACTTCCTCCCTTGGCAAGGGCGATATGCTCGGACAAGAGCATCTCGATCCGGTGCTAAATGCGAAGATGCACCTGGTGAACAACGCGATCGATGAGATTGGCATGACGCGGTATCAATGTACGAACAACACCCCCTGTGGCATGGTTCTCGAGTCGTGCCTTTTCTGAGTACTGGGTGGGTTGTCCTAATATATATGAAGGGAAACTTTTCGTGCTCAATGGCTTCGGTTATGCGGTGGACAGCTTGATGCTACTCATCCAAAGTATCACTGCAGGGCAAGCTGCCTACGAGTTCAACCCGTCTTACAAGAATGGTCTGACTATCGCTGCATATGTCGGCATGCTGGTGGGCGCACTCTTCTGGGGTGTGTCTGCCGATATCATCGGACGCAAATTCGCATTCAACGTGTCTCTACTCATCTCGGCAGTCTTCTGTATTGTTGCCGGGGCTGCTCCGAACTGGATCGTCCTGGGTCTTTTCGTCTGCCTGTCTGCCTTTGGGAGTGGTGGAAACTTGGTTCTGGACACTGCAGTCTTCCTGGAGTATCTGCCTTCAAAAGACCAATGGCTGCTAACTCTAATGGCGGCATGGTGGGGCGTAGGCCAATTGATTGCCGGGCTTTTCGCCTGGGCATACTTGCCAAACTACTCTTGCGATGGATATCCTTCCGAGACTGGCGTTCCTTGCAATTGGCAAACCAACCCAGGATGGCGCTACGTGTGGTTTTCCAATGGCTCGCTCGTGTTAGTCATGAGTCTGCTGCGAATCACGGTGATCAAGCTTCGAGAAACCCCCAAGTTCCTGCTCGGAGAAGGAAGAGACGAGGAATGTGTCGATACGCTGCAGTACATTGCCAAGAAATACAACAGACCCTGCAGTCTTACCATTGAACGCTTGCAAGCCTGCGGCGTTACCGGAGCCGCTACTGGACAACGCAGAGGCTCTTCCGGCGCGCATGCCGAGAGGCGTTTCTCGTTCAAGGAAGTTGGAGTACATCTCAAAGGTCTTTTCGCAAGTAGGAAGATGGGCCTGAGCACCTCGCTCATCTGGTTCTCCTGGCTTCTGATTGGTCTCGCATATCCTCTGTTCAACGTATTCTTGCCAACATACCTGGAAACTCGTGGTGCAGCACTTGGTGGGCTCAGCGATAACGAGAAATGGCGGAACTATGCGATTGCCAACTTCTGCGGTATCCCAAGTCCTATCCTGGCAGGGTACATGTGTCGGTACAAGATCTTCTGGGGCAGAAGAGGAACGATGGTAAGCCAAAATCGATACCCTCTCCAGCAATCTCTTCTCTAACCACCATTCCAGATCATCGGCGCACTCGTAACCATGGTGTTCTTCTTCGCATACACGCAAGTCAGAAACAACGCACAGAACCTGGGCTTCACAGCTGCTATCAACTTCTGTCTCAATATCTATTACGGGACTCTCTATGCCTACACTCCCGAGGTGCTCCCTTCGGCGCATCGTGGCACTGGCAACGGCATTTCGATCGGCTTGAACCGCATCATGGGTATCATGAGTGCGGTGATTGCAACGTAAGTGTCGATGGACCCGGCCCGTTCGTATTGTAGCTGACATTCGGCTCCAGATGTGCGAATACTGCGACTGCTGTGCCGATCTATATTTGCGCTTCTCTGTACATTGTGATGGCTCTCACGGCCGCAGCTTTCCCTTTCGAGCCCATGGGCAATCGCAGCTCTTAGCTAGTGAGAAATGGCTCTGCTTCCTGCTAATAAACATCGTGCGTCATTTCGCTTCCTCCCCGTGGTGCTTTCACATGCTCGCTGCGATTTGATGCCGGAGATCTTCTCAAACATCCTCATTTCTCGGAACTCTCTCGTACTGCAGACCGCTTTGGCACTAACGTATGAGCCAGACGGAACCTGGATCAAGACCACATCCACATCAACGTGCACGACACAGCCCCCCGACAACGCCGGTTTGCGTCTTGGGGACAGTGCTCTCGTGAGTACAAATGATGGGCCGCAGCTTCCGTCGAGGTACCAATCAGATCAACAGGCAACGAATTCATGAAGACTGACAGACAGAAGCCAACTGCAATGTCTTTCCGTAATAAACCGTCTGCGGGCTGCAAGACCTGCAGACGACGCAGGATCAAAGTACAAGTGCTATCCACCAGCTCTTGATTGGCTGACTCGCTGACCGGGCTACATGTCACGGGACCGGCACTCATGTGACAGCCTTGGCAAAGATCGAGTGAAGTGGACGCTCTGGGATATAATCCATCGCTTTGATCGATCTTCTCGAATTGGCGGGATAAATTCGACAATTCGATTCGCGACTCGACTCGGAATTGCTCGAGAAACCAAAAAGAAAAAAAACAAGAAGTCGACGACGTACAGGTTCGCTTGCGTAGACCATTCGGAAGACTTGACGGGTTTGCTAGATGCCTAATCACCGCTGCAACGGGGCGAGACTATAGCAATGCTAAGCTCGACACATGCTCCCATCCCAGTGAACTGTGCGAAGAACTCCAGGGAGCACTCTCAGAATTGGACGGAACAAGAAGGATATCCCTGAACCGACTCCGAATCGAGTCTCCGTTCAAACGCCTGACCACCAAGCCTTACCATTGGTTGAGCACTCCGACTTGAAGTGCAATTACAATGCTGCAACTGGGTCGTCTCTTCGTGGTTTAGTTCGAGTCACATGCAAACGAAGGGCGGGTCCGGTCTTGGCTGGTTCCCCAAAACAACGCCGCACAAATCTCCGCGACGGCTCGATGGACTTCGCTCTCCCTCTTGACATGAGCTCCATCTGGCAACATGGCTCGACCTCGCAATACGAAGGCAGTCACGGGCAACAAGACTGCAACGAAGAGCAAGGGCAAGAAGACGGCAGAAGCTGCCGCCAACCCTGCATGTGCAACTCGGGGCGAATCTGCGCCGACGACACGTACAAACCAGCAGGCAGCTCCTGTAACACGTCGCCATATCGCACGCGTCGCAGCAGAAGAGCAGGAGGAGAGCGAGTCGAGTGCGGAGTCCGATGGAGGCCATAGCGCTGGCCAGGTAAGCACATGCACTCTGATGTTGCCGAGTAACACGCTAATAATGCACCAGTCACAGCCTATCGTGATGGTCCGCTCCGGTGCACCGCGAGCCTGGTATCGCGAGCGGGTCTACACGGGCAAGCAGGTCTCCCTGGCTCGGCTCTTGCAGTCGATTCTCATCAAGTTCGACACCCCGGTCGACGTGAGTAGTCGCCGTGATAGCAGCTAAAGATCATACATTGACGTGTGAGTGACAGGAACTCGTCGACTCACGCCTGCATCCCCAGAACGCCCGTGGACACGCACGCGTGGACCCTTTCGACTGGGGCAGGGATGTGCTCTAAGAGTTCAATCGCCTCGTCCAGGCTTGTGACAGGAAGGGTCAGGTAGACGCCCTGTTGCTGGACGCGGTACTCGCGGCCTCTGGCACGGGGCTCCGTCGGAGTTCACGTGTGACTCTGACGCAGCAGCATGTGCAAGCAGCTCGCGCAGCGCTGGCCCGTCGTTGAAGATCACACCGACAAGTGGTTAGTGAGTGAAGGAAGGCTCATTGTCACACATGCCGAAGAGATCCTAGCGCCTCGCCTCCTCGAAGAAATTCGACCGCCCGAGCAAACTGGCATCTTCGCACAGCACAGATTCAATGAAAGACCAATCAATCGAGACAAAAACACTCCCCGCTCTACTCCAACTCCATCCACCCCCTCGGCAAAAACTCCCACACCGTCCCCACAATCTCCAAAAACCGCACTCATGACAATCAACCCCCAGTCAACCACCACCTGCCTCCTCCCAATCTGGCCCTGGAACATCTTCAGATGAAACCCCACCGGCACAACCACACAGATCAAATACCCAAACATCGCCCCCATGACCGCCGCTATCAGTTCAAAACTCGGAATCGCGAGGGCGAGGGCAGCCGTGAGGACGGTTACCAGGAGGCGGAAGAGGGTGCGGAGGAGGCGGGTGAGGCATTGGGAACGGTTGAAACGGTTGAAACGGTTGGGTTTGAGCAGTTTGGCGCGCTCGTCGATGCCGGAGAAGACTTCGAGGGTGGAGACTATGGGGGCGCATCTGGGTGTGTGTTCTTGTGAGTGCTGGGGATGAGGGAGGAAGGGGGGGTGGGGGAGAGGGTTCTTCCTACTGTAGGGGGAATCGCGTCAACGGGACAATGGCAATCAGGATCAGAACGAATACTTTAGCCGCCCAAGGGTATCCTTCCGTCCTGATGATATTCGTCGTAATCTCGTCTCCGGCTCCGTTCCCATAGAGCAGATATCTCACCACGGCCATGACGATATCGACGGCTGTCTTTTTCGTCAACAAGAGATCAGATCAGCACTGTCACTCCCCCACGAGCCTACGTCTTGGCGATGAAAGAAACATACCACAAACCCAAAAATCCACCTCAACCCCCTCGCATACCCCGGCGGATGCCGCATGTCCCGATAGATATCCGGGAAAAACACTATGGCCCGTCCAGAGCGCCATGAGGAGTCCGAAACTCAACGGGAGAGCAGCCCAATGCTCCGGCGCAGCCTGCGTGAAAGCCACCTCTCGCAGACTCCCGGGGGTGTCGGGTTTCAGAGCACCCAGAACCATGGCGGTGACGATGATGGCAATCGTACAGAAAAGGCCCAAGAAACTGGTATATCCCAGCCAACGCATGGGGAGGAAATTCAGCGGAGCGAGGACGATTCCGCAGAGGCATTTCCATGTGGTTCCGCTCAGGGGGACTGTCGATCAGGGAGCGCAGGGTGTCCGAGAGTAAGATCAGGAGTCCCACGCAGGTAAGCACGAGTTCGACGGTGATGAGTGTGCTCGTGACGAGCCTGCCCTTCTCTCCGTACGCAATATACGCAATATCCCCCAGATTCGCCAGGGAACTGTCCACATCTAAACACTTAGCCAGGAGTCCGGCCGTATACTTTGTCAACCACGCGGATAGGAGGATCCCGAGAAGTCCTATGATCCACCCTGCATAGCAAATTGCCAAAGGTAAGCTAAGAAGGCAGGCTCCTATGAGCACATTGCCGAATTGAAAATCGTCTGAGGGAGAGTCGATTGCCCGATGATGACTTTCGCGACAGTTCCGTCGTCGCGCTGGACTTTGGCAATCAGGAGAGGTTGGCGTTCGGAATCGTTGAGCTGGGCTCTGTTTTCTTCGCGTTGGCGTTGCATGAATTCCACACGGTCCAAGGCTACGGTGTCAAGTCTTGAACGTAAAGGAGCAAATTCTTCTCGCGCAGCACTGGCTCCGTCCATCACGTCTGATGAGTCGGTGTGGTAGTGGGAGTGAGAATCTGAGCTCTTCCTTCCGGATTCCAGCAGAGGGGAGGTTCCGTCATGGTGAGATGGCGGAGGTGCGGTGTTGTTGTTGTCGTTGTTGTTTTCTGTAGGGCCATCATCTTCAGGAACATGACGATGTTCTTCGATGACTTCTTCTTCCTCGTTGCTTCCCAGTATCACCCTCCTGAGCTTTAGACTTGGATTAGCAAACTGTGCGAAACGTCCCACTGATCGAACAAACGCGCTCAGGCTGTTCACGTTCTGCGCACTCATCTTCCTCCCTCCAGACAGCACTGCCGAGAGCAAGATTGAAAGGACCAAGGAAGAACGCACCCTCTGCTCTACTTACGTTGCCTCTCCGACCAAGCAAGAGAAGTCCAAGATCCCAAAAAGCAGTGTAGTATACATGGCGTCGTCCCAACTCTAGACTAGACGTGTCAGTCACATTACTCCCAGGCTAAGCGGACAAATGGACGGACCGAGCACTCGATTGGGTGGGGAGAATATACCTCTGTGCAAGCATCGTCGTCATGGCGTGCCCTTGTTCCATTCGGGACACTCCAAAAGGCTCCTGTAACAGATAGGCATTTGCAGCATCGCCGTCAATTGGTGGGCCGTAAAGCTGCAGTCACAGTGATGGAGATATCGGGCCAGCGTTGTCACGATTTGTGGTCCTTCTGCGCGCGTGATTGTTCTCTCAGCCTCGCACTGACCTTGCACAGTGTGCTTGGGTAAGCTTTGCGGTTTGCGGACAGCTTGCTTGGCTGCAGCGTTCCAGTGCCGAAGCACGTGAGACCAGGTTGTTGATCCTACTGTGCGAATGCACAGCTTAAAGATATTCGTACTGTATACCCGGGCGTTCCATCCACCTCTTTGTATTCTACACTTTCACCATGATCGCTGTCTGTGTACCGCTTCTAATCTGTCGTGATCCAATCTGCTGTCTTTACATCATAACGCCAAAACCCAGCGCTACACCCGCTATCCAAAGACCAGTTATCCAAATTGGAGTGAAATCGGCGTTTGGAATAACGACTCCAGCAGCGGCGCCACTGGATGTGCTGCCGCTGCCGCTGCCGCTGCCGCTGCCGCCACCACTGCTGTCGGATGAGCCAGATTGGATGACCTGCGCGCCCGCCGGAACCGCAGCATTTCCAGTTGCTGTACCGATAGTACTGTGCGCTGTGCTGACGGAGTAGGGCATGGAAGAGACCTGAGCAGCTATTGACCAGGTATTCGATGCGGCGGTTGCGACACCCGATCCAACCGCGGCAGCCACGCCAGTCGGTCCAGCCTTGACAGTGACAATGTCTGGCTGCTTGGTGCTGTTCTGTACGGCCTGCGCTATCGATGCCTGTCCATTGTCGAGATCGAATACGACATACATGCTGCGAAGGATTGCGTCTCCGAGGACATCGAAACCCATGTCGGATTCCTCAGATGGCTGTAGTAGGAAGGCACAGGCAGCATCGCCTTTCGTATCGTACAGGATAGGTTTTCGCGTGGTCGCGTTGACGATCGGCACTACGAATTGGCTGACGTCGACGTGGATGACTACCTTGCCGCCAAATTCCAAGGAAAGGTAGTCTCCGGTGTTCGCATTTGCGCAAGAAGTTATTCCAGTTCGAGCATCGATGTATGAAAAGAGCCGTGTGATAGCAGTATAGTAGGTCGTCGGTATCGACCACGCGGTGCTGCCAGTGTCCAGGAGAACCGGGAGAGATGCATCGCGAGAGCCGTAAGCATGGTAGTCGGGCGAGCCTCCGGACCAGAGCGCGGTCGTCTTGCCGCTGACAGTGGCATTGCATCCCGTCACAGTCGTGATGAATTGGTTAACAGTGTTCAAGATCTGCCCATCATAGAGCGGTGGGAGGAAGTCCACTGTCGCGAGGGTGCCGGTGTATTTGGACCTGTCAATGCCGCCAAAGAGAATGGTGCCGGATGTCGACCCTGCGCGATGTTAATGCCGTCTCCATACACATTCACCATCTTTCACTCACTCTCATCGTTGAGCCAGATTGAGTACAATCTGCTGTTGATCACGCCCGCATCTTTCAAAATCTCCGGCATGTTGGGGTAGAAATCGCTTCTACTCTGGACCGCCTCATTGCTGCTGTATCCGATTCCCATCAAACCGATCGAATATCCCGTCGTGCTGTTCACTACATCGGCTACACCAAACTGCACGGGCGAGACGAGCACATCCCCAATACCCACAACATCGCTGGCGTATGGGCCGACTGCTGTCGAACCATCGCCGAAAGTTGTGTTGAATGCGGGGGATTGGTCGACAACATTGTAGGTGCTGGAGTTCTTGGGGTTGAAAGTTCCGCCTTGACATGAGTTGGAGGCGGTGGCAGGAAGCTGGCAGGTCTGCGCTGAGGAGGCATCGAAGTAGAGGTCGGAGGAGCCGGTATCGAGGATGACGGTTTGCGATTGAGAAGGCGTGCCGACGGTTACTATGGCGGCGCTGTCAGTCAGTCTGGTATGCAGGGGATGTGACTGCGCGTCAACTCACTATTCGCGTAGTATGCTCCTCCAAAGCTCCAGCTCAAAACATCGAAGACATCTGTGCCGACCGTTCCACCATTGCTATTCTGCCGTTTGGTGATGGCGTTGACACTCGAGGCGGAGTGGTCCGATGCTCCATTTGTGCCCTTGTCGCGTTTGGAGATGGATATCTCAGGCAGAGCGTGGGTCGTCGAAGCTAGCAGCAGCGAGCTGCCAAGGATCCAGGATCTCATGTTTCAGGCACCCAAATCCGGCAGACTGCCCTGACGCGCCGTCGTGATATTCCCTGCCAACAAACGAAAGTGTACGCGACTAAGTTCCAAAGTAACCTTGATGCTGGGTTAATAAGTGCGAGATGCAGGTCGGGGGAGGAGGAGGAGCAGAGTAGGTGGAGTATGGATATGTATGGGTTGTGGGTATATTGATGGATGGCAAACGGGCAATCAAAATCACGACAAGCAAGCAGAGTGGCCCCGACTAGAGTGCATTGCCACAGCAAGTGCTCTGGCGCAACAAGCGCTACAACGTCCTGCGGACTGTCCTTGACTGGGTTTGGTTCCTCGGTGCTTGCACACTTGGGGGCAAAGCTTGTTTGACAACTGGGCGACGACTCGCATAGCCACAGGCCAGCACTGGCGCTTGGTTACTGGCGGCTGGCGGTTGGCGGTTGGCCACCGCAGCTGTCAGCTGTCTTCCAACATGCAGCGCTTGCGTGTCGGTTGGACGAGCAGACACACACGGCACTGACACTGGCGCTGCAGAATGGGTGGCGCATCCCGCATCTCGCAGTCCGGCAGATGTAGCGTGAAGCGTCGTCAGCTATGGAAGATTTGGAACGAACTCTCCCGTCCCGTCCCGTCCCGTCTCTCCTTTCAGCCGCCAAGACATAGGATATGATGATGATTGAGGATGATGATGGTGGTGGTGGTGGTGGAGCGATTCGTATGGACAACCAACCAAAGCGGCGATGGCAGCAGTTGTCGGGAATGGCCGCTCCACCTCCTACTAATCTCGTCCCGCATGTCCACTTTCACATGCGCGCACGACCTATGTCCGTCGTCGGTGAATGCTTCTCGGCAACCGGCAAGGTCTTCTGTGGTCATTGTTCGAGTAGCACAGCTGGGCCAGCCCACCGGATAATCATTCTACCGAAATGCACGCTCGCCGTACGAGAGCGGGTACTGCCGTCGCCGGATCGCGTCTCCTTCGTATGGACGGCATATGACCACATATGACCAACAATTTCCATCTTTCCATGTCCACGCTTTGACCTCACCAACCACCTACGCCTCCGCCGCTGTTCCGTCTCTTCATCCACGACCTCTTGCATCTTTCATGGCAGCTCTACCCTCTGCCCGATACCTTGCGGCCGCTCCCTCCGGAGACCCATCTGTCCTTATCCCGTAATGTCGCCCATGGAATCCGCCGCACGAGGAGAGCGCTTGGAGATCTCGAGAGTGAGCGAAGAAGACGACAGCAATCCTGTCCGAGGCGCGCGCAGTACCACGACTTACGCGCGTCTATTCAAACTTGGAAGATGGAGGAGAATTGTTGGCCTCGTGCTACTGGGCGTCACCATCTTCCTGTGGACTGCTAGTAACTTTCTCGCCAGTGTACGTGCTCACTGCGTGCCTTCATGCCTCTCACACCATTCGCTGACTTCCTCGCAGACCATCTTCGCTGATAATACCTATTCGAAGCCCTTCCTCGTAACATACATCAACACCTCTTTCTTCATCCTACCCCTCGTTCCCATCCTGCTCAACAAAGCCTTTCGCAATCCTGACGAATTGAAGAGATGGAGAAATGAGATCCAGAGCCGTTTGACCAGACAGTACGCACCTCTCAAGCAGGACGAGACTGACTCATCTACCTTCCATGAGAGTCCGCTCATCTCCGGGAGGCGGATTTCTGTGTCTCCGCTTCCCCAGGTAATGCTTGGAGACGCTCTGGAGAGGAGCCAAGAGCTGTCTGTCAAGCCCGCGGAAACGGATACAACCCCGCTCACGTTGGCTGAAACCGTCACGCTCAGCATGGAGTTTTGCATGTTGTGGTTCTGTGCCAACTACTTTGTCGCCGCGTGCTTACAATACACGACCGTCGCCTCCTCCACCATCTTGACGAGCACAAGCAGTGTCTTCACACTGCTATTTGGCTCCATTTTCAAGGTGGAGAGATTCACCCTGCGCAAATTGATCGGAGTCTTGGCATCCTTGGCGGGCATCATTCTAATCTCGAGCATCGATCTGTCCGGAAGAAGCAACGACGAGGAGCATCGTGGTGACTTTCCCGAGAAGTCTCCAAAGGAGATCGCGATCGGTGATTTTATGGCTTTCCTATCCGCCGTCTTCTACGGTCTCTATGCCGTGTTCATGAAGAAGCGTATACCCGATGAGACTCGCGTCGACATGCCCGTCTTCTTTGGGCTTGTGGGCGTGATAAACGTGCTAATTCTCTGGCCTGGGTTTATTCTGCTGCACGTCACTGGAATCGAAACGTTGGAATTGCCGCCATCTGGACGGGTTCTCGCGGTGATCTTGGGCAACTCTGTCAGCAGCTTGATCGGGGACATGACCTGGGCCTACGCTGTGCTCTTGACATCTCCGATCGTTGTGACGGTAGGCCTAAGCATAACCATTCCTTTGTCACTCGTGGGACAGATCGTTTTGAACGACCAGACCGCCGGACCATGGTATTGGCTGGGGGCGTGCATCGTGGTCCTTTCATTTGTCTTCGTCAATCACGAGGAAAAGCAAGACGAAGAAGCGCCTCCTTCTCTGCGAAGTGACGATGTTGGTGCTGTCGAACGACAGAGCTCTTTGCCGTGAAGAGGTGCAGCAGAAAGCGAAATCTATTCATAACTAAGCGACTTTGCGAGAACAGCAGTCGCACATGTTTTCGAGTCGACAGTTGCGATACCGTACCGCAACTGAGTGACATATCAGGAAACCGACAGTCGGAACCGCGAGCGTATCTGTCAAGCTACCCATGAGCTATTCTTCCGTCGGCCATGCCCGAGGTACCCATGTAGTGCTACCAGCCCAAGCGGCGAGAGACAAGGGCATTTCTATGATGAGATGAAGATTCTCGCTTTCTGGTTGCCCATCTTAGTTTCCCGGAAAGCTTACACTGCTACGTTGGACTGTGGGACGATACATCTCAAATGCTTTCAACCCCCTGGTTGTGATCTACGTCGTCTTAAGCTCGACAGCGTGTTCATATGGACTGGCCATTTCTGGAAGCATGATTGGACAGCCATCTTCCTACACCAGCCCAGAGCTAGCTTCGCAGGGCAGACCGGGATGCGATCGAACAGTCAACCTCATTGTCGCTTTCAACGGGGTCTCGTCCGCTAGAGCATGTTTTGGCGCGCTGTTCAACACCTGGTCGTGGATCAGTAAACAGTGGAAGGTTCATCTTCGCCAGGCTCTTTTGCTAGATTTGGCATTGGGACCCTTGTCACTTGTATTCCGATGTATCAAGCCGAAGTTAGTACTCTTGAAACAAGGGGCTTATGGTCTGAATGCACGGTATTATGTTCGCGTGCGGATACATGTTGTCGTGCTGGCAAGCTGGATCGGATTCAGCGTGTACTTCATCTCTGCGTCTGCGTCGACATCTAGCTTTCCCTGGAGGTTTTCCCACTAGCGTTCCAAGCTGCTCCTGCATTGCTACTACTGCTGGGCTCGTTCTGGCTACCCTACAGCCCGAGATAGCCCATGCAATAGTCGCGCTCTGAAGAGGCGGAACAAGTTTGAGCAAATTACACTCGCGGAAAGGCGAAGAACATCAGGATCAAATCAACAGACAGTACTATCAAATGCAAAAAAGCAACTCGAACCGTATTGCGCCGTGAAGGCCAAGATCATCCGCTTCGAGATCTCCGATACCGCTTGTAACGGGGAGCGAGAGCTGCTATCGCCGCGGCCATGATGTGGTTCCAACATGTTCACGGGTGTACTCTTCATTACGAATTACGCCAACATCTTCTTCACGGACCTCGGTTTGGATTGACACATGCCGCTCCTCCTCCTCTTCCTCCTCCTAGCTCTCTGGGCAACGTCTTCACAGCAGCACTCTACGTCGACCGCTGGGCAAGGCGGAAATTCCTGCTCATCAGTGCCATCGGACTCACGATTGCTTTTTGTTTTTTTCGAATATCTCCTCCAAGCTCTCTCTTTACTGGGCCCTCGAACCAAGCCGGACTAAAAGCAGCAGTCTTTTTTTTTTTCCAGATTTTCTGTTCATGGCGTTTTGGAGCAGTTGTTTCGTTCGATGCAAGGGATTATCTATCCATAGCAGCTAATTTCCCGACGCATATCCACTGCTGTGGGGATGTTGGATCGGTTTGCTGCGCAGGTTGTCATTGTTGTAGTGGAGGCCTATTGCTTTGGATCGGATAGGTTTGGAACTCTGCATTACTTTTGGTGCTACGGAGGAGGAACAGGGGCAGTACGCGAAAGCTACCGGGGGTGATAGAGCACGAGCATCGCGCTGCGAAGGACAGACAGCAAGCCCGAGGTTGAACTGGGAGTAGCAGTCAAAAATCCAACTAATAACCGTGTCTAACCACGTCGCTCTGCACAATCTATCATATACTTTTGGGGACCATGTCATTATCTAAACCCGGCTATCTTTTCTCTCCATTTTCACATCACCCGCATTCCAATGCTTCGCCATCACTTCCTCGGTCGTCGAGACCAAGACATCAAAAACTTGTCGTACGTACTTTTCCTCCGCGAGGGGGTTCGCCGAAACGACTCTGATGGCGTAGACCCCTCCCACGACCGTGCTCGTCAAATAGAAGTCTTTGCCCTGATTGATCAGCTCATACACTTCTTCCGTGATCTTATTCGCCCTTTCCAATTCTCCGGCACTCGTCCACGGATCCACAAGCATCTGACTATCCTGGTAAGGTCGCGGATCGGCCCCAGCGACAGCGCCATGAGCGAGTCGGAAATCCTGCCACATGTACGGATTCACCGTGATGACAGTGAGAGCGAAATCCGGCGGAGTGAGAATACTGAACAAATCGCTCCTGGAACGCACCAAATTGGCGAAGAGCTTCCCAAGGGAGATGTGATGTCGGATATGGTTTCGAAGACCAGCGACGCCCCAGGTTCGAATGATGAACCAGATCTTCAAGGAGCGGAAGCGGCGTCCGAGGGGGATCTGCCAGTCCCTGTAATCGGTGACCTGCCCGCTGTCTGAGAATTGGTTTCTGAGATAGGATGGGGTGATACTCATGGCGTCTGTCAGGTCTCTTCGCTTCTGGACGTAGAGAATCGTAGCGTCGAAGTTGGTGAGGAGCCATTTGTGCATGTTGATGTTGAAGGAATTGACAAAGGCGATTTGGGAGGAGAGATGTTGGTATTCTGGGAGGACTAGCGCTGCGCCAGCGTAGGCTGCATCGACGTGGATCCAGATGTCCGGGTAGTCCTTTGCTACGGAAGCGATGGATTCGAAGTCATCTACTGCACAGACAGATGTGGAACCGATGCAGACGGTCAGGTAGTATGGATGGAGACCTTTCCTCTCCAGTTCTTCGATCTTGCGTCGCAGGTCGGGACCTTTGAGGGCGTAGGCATCTTCGTGACGTGTTGCGATGCTTCGAAAGCGACTCCCGGCCATGTTGGCCGATTTTCGGCTCGAAGAGTGAGCTTGGTCGGAAGCGAGCACCACCAGTGTCGAGCGCAACTCGCAAGAGCGGTCTTCGATTTCTTCTGGGTCGGTGATATTTTCCCGCGCGAGCTGGCGACGGACGTAACGTTCTCGGGCGGCGATCATTACCGTAAGGATGGCTTCGCTGGCAGAGCCATGGATGACGCCTCCACCAGTGCCCTTGGAATGAAAGCGAGGTGCAAGTGCAAGAATCTGTGCCATCCAATCCATCACCACTGTCTCGAGCTCCGTCACAGCCGGAGCACAGATCCAGTTGAAAGCAGGAGCCGTCAAGGCAGCACTCCACATCTCCCCCAGAATGCCCGGGTACGTGCTCGTGGCAGGGAAGAAAGCCATGAATTTGGGATGCTGCCAGTGCGTCATACCAGGCATGATGGTTCGGTCAATGTCCTTTTCAATGTCCTGCCAGCTTTCGCCATCTTCAGGCGGCGTTTCCGGAAGGAGCTTTCGGATGTATCCTGGAGCGACTGAAGGTAGTACCGGTCTGCTTGCAAGGTTGGTGTAGTATTGCTCAATCTCGTTCACGACTGAAGTGGCAGCTTCGAGGAACTGTTGGCCGGTCATGCCCATGGGTGGGACTGTTCGGTCGTCCAGTGTCGACTTGCCATTGCTACCGTTGCCATTGGCGTGATTGCCACCGTCGCCACCGTCGCCATTGGCGTGAGTAGCTGAGCTTGACATCTTGTGCCGATGATATTGACCAAGGTGCAAGTTCGATGCGAGAAGGAAAGCAGATGAAGCTCGTGGGGTTCAGAAAACAAAGTGCTGTTGCAGATCCGGCGGGAGACCCAAGACGGTATCCCTAAGGTCCTTACGCTCGACCGAATGACCAGATGGGCTCTCTGGACATTTGAACAATGTATTCGTCCAACTGTTGCGAGCGACACTGGAGAAGAGGTGAAGTTATCAATACCAAGCCCTGCCTCCTTCTCAGACGCCTCTCAGGCGCTTCTCAGGCGCTTCTGGTATGATGAATGCTAATAGAAGCTACTCGTGTTGAGTGAACTTATTAAGACCAAACCCTGTCTCCTTCCCAGGCGCTCCTTCCCAACGCTCTTTGTTGGTAGGGTCGATACCAATCGAAGCTGCCCGTGTTTAGTATCGGACGAATACCGGCGGAAGAAGGGCTCGATTTAGGTGTAGTATAAGGTAGGAGGTACGCGTTAGCGAAGCGCCTAAGGACAAGACTAGCTATCGGGCTATGTCCGTAGTAGAAGGGTATTTTAATAGAGTAGACTTAAACAGTAGCTTAATACTACTATATCTATATACCTAATAATATATACTTAGTTAAAGTTAATCTAATAGAGATCTAAATAGTAATATAATTTGTTTATAGATTAATATAGATATATAGATAAATTCTAGGAAACTAAATAAGTCTAAGTAGAGTATATGTAGTATTTTAAGCTTATAAGATATAGAAGAGAAGAAAGTCTAGTATAAGTAAAAGAATTAGAGAAGAAAATTATTCTTAAAAATACTAGAAAAGAATTCTTAGTATAAGAAGAGTTCTTTTATATAAGACTATATATATCTCGTTACTACTAGTAGAGTAATTATAATAGTTACTCTATAATATAAGAGAGTAATAATTAGCTCTCTTAGTAACTAGCTCTTAATAGTAGAAGTAATTATTAGAATCTACCTTAGAGTATAAAGGGCGAGCCCTTAGGGATATTATACTAGGCGATACCTATACGTAGGGCTTAGCGCTAAGTCTCGTAAGCTACGTATACTAGACTCCGTATTTTAGAATCCGGAACTAGATAGATTCTCTCTCCTTCTATATCGAACTTACTATATCTAATACCGAACCTTAGTATATACGACGTTTACTTATAATATTAGGTTCGATCTATTCGATACTATCTAGCTTCCTACTACTAATATATTAGACTATAGTATACCTTCTAAGGAAGACGGAAGGTCTAAACGGAATATAGCGAATAATATAGCGAATATAAAGCTATAGGCGTTCCTCGAAAGTATAAGTATACGCTAGTACGTAGTAGAAGCCGAACTCGCGACTATACGCGCCGCTCTAGAGTAGGCGGAGACCGAGAGAGCTACTATATAGGTAACTACTCTATCCCTAAACGAGCTTATAGTAACTCTAATATAGGTAGTAGCTACCTTCTCTACTCTAAAGGCCGCGACTAACCTATTAGGGCTAAGAGGATAGGTACCTCTAAAATAGGATAGCTAGGCTAATATCTTCTATAACTATCTCTTAAGGATTAAGAGCTCCTATCGGGTACGCTCTATACTAAACCTACTACTCCCTAGAGAATACTATTAGGACTACGTCTACGACACGCTACCGATATAAGTATAGGCCTAGATATAATACTTCTAGAAGAAGGGAAGCGTAATAGAAGGCAAGGCCCTCGACGCTTTCTTTACGTAACTCGAAAAGGTTTTTAGAGATAGTAATAAGAAGGTAAAGGTACTTAAATACCTTACGAAGATACGTTATACCTATAGCTAACCCTAGTACGACTACTAGGTAAAATTCGATAGACTTCTACTAAGTACTAGCGGAGATAACTAGAGGGATAACGCTAAGATCGGTTATCTCCGTAATACGTTCTTAAATACTATATAAAAATATATAGTAGTAATACTAAAGATCCCGGACTACTACGCGTTTATAGAAGAGGTCGAGCGGATTATAACTAATCTCGAGAATACTAACTAGTTTAAGGTAGTAAATAAGAAGTAGAAAGAGAATAATAAGAACTCTAGTCTAACTTCGATAGGGAGCGGCCTAACTACCGTAGTATTACGAGTTAATTAGACCGTTACCTATAGCTACGACTAATTAAGGCAGATATAGTAGAGTACTAACTAGGCATTTAGTAAGGGAGTAATTAGTATAATTAGTCTACTTAGTAACTAGTTTAATTAGTCTACTTAGTAATTAGTTTAATTAGTCTACTTAGTAATTAGTTTAATTAGTTCACCCGCTATAGATAGAAGTATATAGGAACACTAAGAATGCCTCTAGCTTTCGATGTGTTTAACTTACTATAGTATCTTACTACTTAGAATACAATCCCTTAAGTTACTATATTACTCTATCGCTTTACTCTTCCTCTACTAGACCTCTCTACTAACAAGCCTAATACCGATTAAGCCTTATATAAGTAATCCTTATACATTGTAAGATTATTAAGTTATAGACTTAATATTTAGCTACGCCTCGCTATATCGGCCTTAGATTCGTCGCGACCGTACGTAGGTAGGAACAAGGTTATAATCGTATATAACTCCCTAAAATAAGCGGCGTAGTAGAACTCTAGTCTTAGAGAATTAAATATAACTTTTGTTTAGACTTTAGCTATTAAGAGTAATCGCCTCTAGTAGACTAGCTAGCTAGCCGCCTACTAGCCGCCCTAGCTACGTTAATCCTACTAGCGGGTAGCTAGTAGGCGGCTAGTCGGCGGTTAGCTAGTTAGGTAGCTAGAGGCGATTACTTCCGCGGTTCTATAACAAAGGAAACTAAGATATATTTTATAGATAATAGTAAGCTAGATAATAGGAAGGTATAATAGGTAGTAGCGATAATATAGTAGAGATACCCGAAAGAAACTACAGGCCTCTAAGGAAAGTATAATAGAGGAAGCTTCGATAATAGACGAATAGGTATAATAGCGATAATAGCTAATAATACTACGTAGGTACTAGCGTATAGTATATTACTTCCGTAATAAGTATACTAGATACCGATAATAGGGACACCGCTTATAATAATCGCTCTACTACCTATTCGAGCGCGTACGAGGGCGTCTATTAGTTATAGTATAGAAAACGCCTATAAATAGTAGAGAGAGAGAGTATTATAAAGGGCGAGCCCTTAGAGATATTATACTAGGCGATACCTATACGTAGAGCTTAGCGCTAAGCCTCGTAAGCTACGTATACTAGACTTCGTACTTTAGAATCCGGAACTAGATAGATTCTCTCTCCTTCTATATCGAACTGTTACGGATCGAAGTGGGAGCGAGGCCACTTCGAGAATTCCTAGCTAGTAAAAAAGAAGAGAGACCCTACGCGTACAGCGAGGTACGTTACGCGTTACGTGTTCGACTAACGGAAGGAGCCGGTAGTCGAACTCTACGAGGAGGACTACGTAACAAGTTCGACCGTTCGACTATAGCTCTAGTCGGATAGCTAGTTTCTAGCTAGTAGGTAGGACAAGTTAGTCGAACTAGAAATCTATATAGGAACACTAAGAATGCCTCTAGCTTTCGATGTGTTTAACTTACTATAGCATCTTACTACTTAGAATACAATCCCTTAAGTTACTATACTACTCTATCGCTTCACTCTTCCTCTACTAAACCTCTCTACTAACGAGCCTTATACCGATTAAGCCTTATATAAGTGATCCTTATATATTGTAAGATTATTAAGTTATAGACTTAATAGCTTTAAATACCCTCGAGGATGTCTAATTAACGAAGTTCTAGGGGAACTCCCGCCCCTAGTAAAGTAGGACGACTAAGGACTAACGAAGCTATTTAGGCTTTAGCTACGTACGAAGGAGACAAGAACCTTAAGGTCGGTAAGCCGGACTTCTACTATAGTAACCGCGAGAAGTATAACACCTAGGTTAACTAGATAGACCTCTACTTTCTCTTTAACCCTATAGAAGAACGTCTTAAGCCTGTCTTTACTACTACCTTTTTAAGAGGACGTACATAGTATTAGGTTAAACCTTTTCTCTACGAATACCTCGACTCCGGTAATACGAAATTAGGAAACGGAATCTTTAAGTTATACTAACACCTTAAGACCTCTATAAAGACCGTGTTTAGTATATCTAACGAACAATCGACCGCCGTACGAGTTATTTAGCACCTTACGTAACGTACCTCTACTACCGAATATGCCGCTAAGTTCTAGGAACACGCTTAACTTACCGACTAGGACGACGAAGTACTTTAAACGATATACCGACAAGGACTAAAGGATAATGTTAAGGACGAATTAATACGCGACGGGCGATTAATCGAAGACCTAGGAGAACTAGTTTAGGTCACAATCGATCTTAACGACAAGCTCTACGAACGAGTAATAGAAAGGCGTTACGATTCGAAAATATTAGGACGCGCTAGGTATATTTCCGAAAGGCGACACTAGGGCAATCACAATCTACGGTTTAATAAGACAAATCAATTATATTAACCCTACTATAGACCGTAGCCTATGGAACTCGACGCTACCTAGAAAGGTCGTAAGATACGAGGTAAGAACTCGCCTCGAAGGAAAAATGTAGGAAAACTAACTTACTATACCTATAGAAAAGAAGGACACATAGTACGGGATTGCCGCGGTAAGAATATAGTACGCCGCGAGCAGTTTAATATAATATAACTAAGATCGGGACGAGAAGCATATAATATGCCTACTCTCGACGAGAAAAGGGAACCCCGACTCTTTAGAGTAATAGTACGTCGTAAGGAAAAGTACGGTACCCTTTATTAGAGATACTGTTACGACGATTTATACTAAGAATATTATTCCTCGAAGATAGGAGTAGGATACTAGCTATAACGACTACTATTACCTATATAGGATCCGCGGCCCGATAACGACGAAGAAAGGACCGACGGATACCGACTTCTACCTATACCGGAGGAGCTACGTAGACTCGAGCTACCTATACCGGTTAG